GAAACCTGCTCTTCCCAGTGCCACCTCATTGCTTTAGAAAAAATTTGCACACTACCAATTTGCTATTCCAAGTACAGTTTGGAGAAAACAAAATTGATGCCTTCATTTCATTCACTGACAACACTGATTCCAGTCCATCTGACATGTGACAACTTTATATAACTCTGTCGTCTAACGGGGGAGGTTGGGAGTTGTATGCAAAATTCACAACTGTCAGCTTTCATGAGTTCCAACCATTGAATTCTGTATATGCATTCATTTGAAAGCAGGGGCAACTATCTGGACTATTTCAGGTGTTTGCCTGCTTCAACTCACCTGATTTAAATGAGTTGGTTATTTACAGGTTTTTGGAAAACTTGTTGGCATACTGAAGAGGTAACTGGGCCATTTAAATTAGGAGTGTAGGAACAAGAAAACAAGGAAAGCATGTAGGATAGTGTCCCCGGAGTACCAGAGATTGACAGCTGTGGTTTAAAGGATAGAAACTATTTGGACACCCATCCATCCATTATCTTTTACCTGCTTATTCCATTTTGGGTCACAGGGGTCGCTGGTGCCCATGTCCAACAATCACTGTGCGAGGGGCGGGGTACACCCTGGATGGGTTGCAAGTCCATCACAGGGCCACATAGAGATAAACAAGACAAACAACCATTCACTCTCTCACTCACACCTAGGGACAATTTAGAGTTACCAATCAGCATGGTTTTTGGTCTGTGGGAGGAAACCGGAGCACCGGGAGAAAACCCACGCATGCACGGAGAGAACATGCAAACTCCACCCAGAAGGGCCCCCGGACCGGGGTTTGAACCAAGGACCTACTCGCTGAGAGGCAGCAGCTCTACCAGTTGCGCCACCGTGCTGCCCACTATTTGGACAATTATAAGCAAACTGTATGGGTTTGGAGAAGTGCGCCAAAACTGATTTTCAAGGATAGAAAGAGACAACCATTTCTAATTTACAAAGCTTTTCGTGAAATCATAACAGCATTGGAAATGATTTCCACTTACAATCTCCTGTTAAAAACCATTCCACATAAAGATACTGCCATCACTAAATTTGGAAATATGAGAACTTTTTTTTTAATAAAACAAGTTTCTTGATTCATCCAAACACTGGGGTAATTGAGGCCAAATCTTTCAATCAGTGTTGATATATTTGTAGATTTTTCCTTTTATATCATTAGACTGATTCAGGTGATGTTAGTAGAAAACCTTCAAGGAACTTGCCTTTAAGGCTCTAGAGAACTAAAAACCAGATTGGTGGAGTTGTGCACTAGTTGGACTTATCTTTGGTCTTGAGTAAGTCACAAAAAAAAGTGTTTATTAGGTAAAACAAATGACCTATCATAAAAACATAGAAAACAATCAAATATTTTAAAGTTTACTTCTACATTCCACATCTTTAGAGCCAGTCTATGCTGCCAAGAGTCAGCATGGCCAGGGAACCTCCCTTGCCTGCTGCCTGGCATCCATCGCACCCAACCTTGACAAACCTTCCCACAGGTGGTGAGCCCACAAGGTGGTGGCTTCCTGTCCTTTCTTTGGGCTTGGCCTGACAGAGCCCCAGGAGCCAAACTCAAACACCAGATGTTCACCAGCAAACTCCCTCGGGCCTGGCTACAGGGAGGTGCACCAATTTCCCTTTTCCGGGTGAGTTTCCTGATGCAATCGTTTTGCCATCAAGTGTTTTGGAGTCAAGGTGGTTCAAGCATCTGATTAAGATGCCTCCTGGACGCCACCATTTAGAGATTTTCCAAGCATGTCACACTGGTAGGAGGCCCCGGGAAAGACCCAGAAGTCCCTGGAGGGATTGTGCATCTTCTCTGGCCTGGGAACACCTCCAAGTGCCCCAGAATGAGCTGAAAAGCATCACTGGTGAGAGGGATGTCTTGGTTTCTCTCATGGACCTGTTGCTTCTGCAACCAGATTTTGAATGAGATGGATGGCTGGATCTACAGTTATATTGACAGCCTGCATATGCATTTTCTGTAACCCAGCAGTCAGCAGGTGAGAAGCAAGGTGAAAACCAAGATGGAGCACCAGTCCATGGCAGAGTTAACAAAAAGACAAATGACACACAGACAACCATGTATTCAACCACCTACAGTATAAGTCGGGTCAGTTTAGACTAGGATACTTACAATAATCTAACGTGTATTTTAGACTGCAAGAGGAAATTTGAATAACCAGAGCAATTTAATGCATGAGTAAAGGTAGAGGTAGAGTTAACGTAAAGATCCAGTCCTTTTCTTACATTTAAAATATATTACCTATTGTATTCACCTATTGTACATGTGACAGCACAATGAAAAAACTGTACCCCATTTGACTTGTACATTTTCATTTTTCATTTAGCCTTTATTTATCCAGGTTAGTCTCATTGAGCCACGAGAACTCATTTTCAAGAGAGACCTGTTTAGGGAGCACATGGTGGGGGTTAAGGGCCTTGCTCATGGGCCCAGAGTGGGGCGAATGAGGGTGGGGGCAAGTGTGGGTGTTTCACCTACCCCACCCACAATTTTGATGTTGTCGGGGCCGGGATTTGCAAACATAATTAAGATATTCTTTTTCTGCAACATACTGGTTTGAAATGGTTCACATTAGGGCATTTGCTGTGTAAAAAAGCTGTTCTACTGAATCATGTATTTTTATATAGCATGTAAATTAAAATGACATTTTAGGCTTTCCATCTCTTCTCAATAAGTGTAAGTTGTTGAAAAAAATGGGAGATAATTACCCTGATGCATGCATCCACTTCCTTCTTCCAGAGATAATTAATAAACAGTACGATTTGTTTGCAGCACTTTTTGTCTCGGTCTCCTCACTCTCACTTTAAGTTCAGTTGTGTAAACAAGGTTTTTATTTTCATGCAACGGTTTCACAAATAGATTACACGGTGTATGACATATAAAAGTTTATATGTTTTAATGGTAAGTACAGATTTGGAATGAGGTGTTCCACTTCCACCAAGACTGGAATCTGTTTTTCAGTGTCTGGCCTCTCAGCCAGTAAATCACTGCTTCATTATTGTTAACATCAATTTTATGTGCTCTGGGTGTCTGATTCATACCAATTGTTGTGTTTGTCTAACATATCATCTTACAGTGCAACTGCAATAAATCAGAAATGTCCAAACTCCCTGGGTGCTTCATTAGAAAATGTGATTTTTATGGAAGTTTGTGAACCCCATTCAGAAGAAAATATGGGAAAACCTATTGGAAAAAAAGACAATATAAAAGTTGTACAGAAACATACTGGAAAAACTCAAAGACTTTCCTAGGTTATTCTGAAAAGCTGTTCTTTTTCAGTAAAAATCTATGAAATCAAGACAAAATATAGAGAGAAATGCAGATGTTAGCTTGTTTTACTGACATGTTTTTATTGACTACTTGCACATTTGAAGCTAAGCTCAGATTTCCTTCATTGCATGACTGAACAGCTCAAAGTATTGGTGCAAAAAGAGAAGAATAAGGGCTTTTACGGTTGTTCACTGTAAAATGCAAAATAGCCATTGTTTCACATTCTGATTCAAAATAAAATATACACAATCAAAAATCCTTTAGAGGATTTATCATCTGCATTTCATATTACTACTGAATTCTAACAAGAAGTGCCAAATGATCAGGCGAGTTGCAAGAATCTGTTTAAAATTAACCAAAAACGGTTTACTTTACCCATATACCAAATGCCATGAAAACATAAAACATCCACCTTAAGATCTTCTGCTCATAAAACGTGAGATAAATCCACTTACGGTAACTCTACAAACACGTGTCAGTACGCTGAAGGCGGAATAAAACATTTGTCACACGACATCTTATGTTCATACAGGCATCTTCAGATCTGAGTGGCAGTTTTTGTTTTTATTATCTTTACAAAAATAAAAGTCAGTAAGCTATGTGACTTTGTAAAATGGCTTAAGATGGACTTTTTTTTTTTTTTGGTTTACAGAAAGATCAATAACAAAATACCAGTAGTCTGAAAATCCCATTTTGTCATTACTATAAAAATACTCAATGGAATTTCTGTTGATTAAGTGCATTAAAACCTGTTATTTTTTAATTGGATCAAAAAACATATAGTGGTCAATGGCTATGGGATAAATTATCATCATACCTGATATTATATTTAAAATGATATAATGTACAAAGTGCTACCGAGAAAACATAGTCTTTATAAATGTACCATCAGGGGCAAGTATATAATATCCCAAATTAGTAGCCAACATAAAAATACAGTAGTATGCATTTCAACCTGAGTTTGTCCAAAACAAGGCCAATGGCATCAGAAATTAATAGTTAAATAAATCGTTTTAACATACATTTGAACAGTGAGTTCCTTAGGATAATTATTACCGGTAGATATGAAGTAAATATCTAGTTCCCTCTTGTGGACACAGCTGGCATAATTATCTCAATGTCAAAACAATATTGTGTGACTGAAAATAAAAATGCATTCCTAAAATGTGGATTTATGCGTTAGGTTCAAAGTTCACTCAAAGCGCAAAGACATGCAAACGCTCACATCGTAGTGCACAAAACCACTGCTTTCAGTTTACAATTTGTTAAAACGACCAAAATTTTACAAGATAAACATGGGTGCCAGATATTAAAACTACAAACTTCTACTTTATGTCTTTTGGTTCTCGTATAATAAAACTACAGACATACAATTTTCTTAAATTAACATCAATTATTAGCAACAAGGACAGGCGTCTTTGCATATAAACAATATCGAGCTTAATTATCTTTCAGACTGTGTAGCTGTGTCCTTTTTATTAATTTGAACACTTTCTCACTGGAAAAAAATTTGGACGGGTTATAATAATTAAATGTTTTGTCCCAGATGGGATCAGTCACAACAGTTAAAAAGCCTTCACAACAAAGCCATAACACAAAGGAGAACAGAAAACTAGTCTGTGCGCACTCACAACCAAGAAACACAACTTAAAAACCAACCTGAGCAGTGAAACCTTCGAAATACCTTACATCTCCATTTTTCATGCAATGCAATAAAATGTGGGTACATTGTAATACTCTCCAATGAAGGTTGTTTAAATACGGCATTTGGGGCTGATCATCATGGCTTTGCGGCCTTGTTCTTCCAGGAATCTTTAAATAAAAATCCTGTTTGGCTTCTAGTTGGTGCTCTCAAAGAACATAAAATCCTGTAAAGAAGAAAAAAAAAATGTTAACACACAAAAATAGTAGATTCCAAATTTGATTTGGTAAAATCTCTCATCCAAGTAATATATCAAGCTAATTATCAGTTTCAATTAAATAAAATGGTGTTTATCGACTATGTATGCAATTAAATGTAAACTAAGGGGCAATTTACTTAGTGCAAATATTCATTTACTGATTACTGGTGGTGACAAGAAAAGCATGTTCCTCGTAAGCGAAAGGACAAATGAGTCTATGGTGACTGCAGTAGCCACACTGTGCAGACAGTTTCACCAAAATTGCAATGTGAGAAGCTCTAAATTATATTAATTACAAGCTCTCGCCAGAACCGCTCATCACCACTTTATATTTTTATCATGTTAACAACTTTGAGCACGAAATTAAAATTTGATGCTCCACTTACAATAAGAAAACAGGCTCCGATCATTACAGCTTTCATTCTCACATCCAGATCCATGGGAAACTGGATCCCGAAGTTGTCCGAGTCTGTGAACGCCTCCCGCAGCAGCCCTGTCCACTGTTTACTGATTTTCCCAATCTTACTGACTTCATCCATTGTAACAATCTGAGGACAGACGAACAAAGGAGACAAATTACTTGCTGCACTGAGATCCAGGTGGGTTGTTGGACGTTTGAGTGTTTTTAGAGGAAAATCACAAAGCTTCATATTCAGTTCAACCATTATTTATACAGGTTAATCTCATTGAGCCTCGAGGACTCATTTACAAGTTTTAAAGTAAGAACACAAATGACAACAGTAGACAATCGTAGAAAAACATGTAAAATGAAAAGTAAATGAAAAAAATAAATAAAAAAATAAACCAAAGAAAAGCAGCTACATTATAAAGTGATATAAAATACTAAAAACAGGAACAAGTATGCGTTGGTTTTTGCCATGAAGTTAACAGTTGTTTAAAATCCCTTAGAGAGGTCAAGGTTGAGCGCTGCAGATCTTTTTGCAGGTTGTTCCAGGATACAGGAGCGGAGTAGGAGAAGGCCCTTTTGCCAAGCTCGGTACACTGCATGGGATAATGTCCTGAGAGCGCACGCTGTAGCTGCACTCACTGTGACATGTAGGAGGAGGTGTATGAAGGCAACAGACTAAGAAGTGATTTAAAGATGAAAATGTACCAGTGACAGAGTCTGTGTGAAGTTAATGATGTCCAGTTAACCAGTGAACACAGGGTGCAGTGATGGGTACGATAGTTACAGCCAGTTATGAATCTTAGCGCACTGTGATAGACAGCATCCTACATCTGCAGGGTGCTTGCAGGAGTGTTCAAGTAAATAATGTCACTGTAGTCAATGGAGGGAAGGAAAGTATCAGTTAGGTTTCCTAGCACTCAGAGTTAGAAGGGATCTATTTCTGAAAAAAAAAACCAGTTTTACTTTCAGTTTCTTTACCAAGTTGTCGACATGAGGCTTAAAAGAGAGATGCTAATCATCCAAGATAACCAAGTACTTGTAGGAATCGACAAACTCAACAGGAACACCATTCAGAGATAAAATAGAAGGAAGGACTGCTGGAACCGACTTCCTGCTTGAAGATGTCAAATATAGACTGTAAGAGCTGAAAAACCGTAGCAACGGTTTTGGCTCGACAATGAACAACTGTGTCGTCAGCATAGAAATGTAAGGATGCATTAGGGATGATGTAACCTACATTACTTATGTAGATTGTGAAGAGGGTGGGCCCTAAGACTGAACCTTGTGGTACACCGTTGTTAAGAGTTAGATAACTGGAAGAAGTACCATTATGTTGAACACATTGCCTCTGATCTGGGAGATAATTATAGAACCAGCCAATGGTGTGAACTGAGAAACCAATTTCAGATAGCTTATGACAAAAGGTGTCATGGTCCACAGTGTCGAAAGCTTTAGACAGACCTAAATAAAGCGCACATATTTGTATTCCTAGCTTCTGCTGTTTGCATTTGCAGAATTTTTAGATTTCTACTTTTTGTAATAACTCTGCATCAATGACCTAAACCTTCTCCACAGCCAAGCCTAATACAACATGAACCATACAACAAAGGCAAGATTGTACTGAACAAGTCCTTCATTCAAACTGCACCATAGAAACAGTCAGCGCACGAGGAGGATGCCTAAATAAAAATAAACTTGTTCAGAAAGCATCCTTGTTACAGTGTCCTGTTTACACGAACTAAATGCATTTCTGTGTTTAAACAGGCCCACCTCAAAGTCAACATCTGGGAGGCAGCTCCATCCGCAGAAGGGCCCGTGGATCTTCAGTACAGGCTCATTGTGTTCATTTGAAACAAGAAATTTAGGGGACAACGGGTGCCACTGCTGTTTCACATAGCCAACAGGGTTCCCGGGGGGAGCCTGCACCTCCAGCTAAACGAGGCAAACACACATGAACAGCTGTTATTTTAACAGTTAAACAAAAACCTGGGTGCAGAACATAAACAGAAAGGTCTCGGGTGTGGAGATATCACTTTGAACAGAATCTAGACTCACTTCTTGTAAACAGCAGGGGAAGAAGCAAGACATGCACTTGAGCGGCCTGGTGATGGTGATGACCTCTTGGCCATAGTTGTCGAGAATGTGGATGGTGAAGGGCCGCAGGGGTCCGCAGCACTGTCGACTCAAACAGTCGTTCTCCTCGACGGCGTAGAACACGTTCTGACCCATGGCGTTCCGAACTTCGTACTTGTTGTTGCTTTCAAACCCAATGAGGGCTGTGAGGAGGGATAGGATCAAAATGAGCTGCTGTCGCTGTACATCGAGGTTTGACAAGTATATGCGTTCACACACTGTACCTTCAACAAGCTCCACTTTCTGTTTGACGAGGAGCTGATCCACCTAGAAAACCACAAGCATGCTTTTGAATCAAAGTCTGATGTTTTAAATGCAACAACTAAGAAAAATAGGCAGAAGTAAAACATTCGTTCTAAGAGCTCGGTGCATTTACGGACAGAGTAGTCTTTGGTGTATTGTACAGAACATACCAAAGGGGTTAAATTGTTTTCAAATGCTCCAATATATAGAGGTTTATTTTATTTTATTGGTAGTTGTTTTTTTTTTATATCCAACTTTATTATTATGAATAAAAACATAAATGAAAAAAAAACAGTGTTCTACAATGTGTACAACCTTATTTTTTTAAATAAAATAAATGACAGCAGTCTTGCCTTACAGGGATGATTCAGATATTAGAAAGAGGCCTGTGGAAAAGATATGAATAAATAATGTTTACTTGTGTTTTATAACCCTTATTAAATGACCTGAGCTTGAATAAATAATGATTTGATCAAAGATGCAGGTTTAAACCTTGGCTCCAGTGTTTCTGTGGAGTTCACGCTCTCTCATGTGTGAGTTTCCTCCAGGCGCTCAGGTTTCCTCCCACAGACCAGAAACATGCAAGTTAGAGTACTTGGTAAATCTAAACTTGTCTTTGGGTGTGAGCGACAGCGTCAACGGTTGTCTGTGTCGTTTGTCTCTTTGTGGCCCTGGGAACTTGATGACCCTGGAAATTTACTCCAGAGGCGAAACACCTACCAGAACATTACAAAATAATAAATAAATGAGAAATGAATCAGGCAACTCGTCATTTTTTATACCACATTTAAAGTATGTTTGTTCGGCAAGTAAAGAACTAAAACAAACTGTTAACATTCATCAGTATTTTTACATTTTAGAACAAAGAAATAAACTAAATTCTTGGGAAAAATGAAAAACATTTTGCTTATACTCCATTTTTTTTTCAAATTTAACCACTTTATTATGTAAGCTAGAGTCTTTATTCTATTTGTGAACAATGATTAAGCACCTTGCTTTGAAATAACGAAGCATATTTTCCTACTTGGTGAGTTATTAAACATCAAATTTAAATGTTTATTGGATATTTTCTTGTATGCCATCTGACAACATTTGATTCTTTTGCTTATTTAAAAAAAGACAAGTCTTTGGATGGCAGCACGGTGGCTCAGTTGGTAGAGCTGTTGCCTCTCAGCTAGAAGGTCACTAGTTCAAATCCCAGCCCAGGGGCCTTTCTGGGTGGAGTTTGCATGTTCTCTCCGTGCATGTGTGGGTTTTCTCCGATTTTTTTCCCACAGACCAAAACCATGCATGTTAGGCTGACTGGTAACTTTAAATCTGGGCTATTCAACTGGCAGCCCAGGGGCCAAATTAGGACCACGGATGAACTCAGTTCAGCCCACCAATTGGTTCGTTTTTTTTTTTTTTTTTTAAATAAAACTAGATTTTAAACCATAAAACAAACTTCCTTAATGACAATAAATGCTGGATGTCCGGTCCCTGAGCTTTTGGCTTTCACTAACTGTGGCTCACTGAGCAATTTAGTTGAAAAGCCCCTAGGTGTGAGTGAGAATGGTGAATGGTTGTTTGTCTCGTTTGTCTCCATGTGTCCCTGTGACGGACTTGCGACCTGTCCAGGGTGTACCCCACCTCTCTCACAGTGATAGCTGGATATGGACACCAGTGACCCCCGCGACCCGAAAAGGAAGAAGAGGGTAAAGATAATGGATGGATCCATCCATCCATTATCTTTACCTGCTGTGCGAGAGGCAGGGGACACACTGGACAGGTTGCAAGTCGTTCACAGGGACACATGGAGACAAACGACACAAACAACCATTCGGACAATTTAGAGTTGGATGGAAGTCTTTAGATCTAAATACCACTTTTATCAGAATGAGTTGCTATATTTAAACCAGAGTGTTTGATTACAGTAATTCATAACATAATGCTAAACTGAACTAAACTAAACTAAAATGTTAAACCGATTGTTTTTCCCTTCAGCCACTTCCTGTTAATGTCTTTAAAAAGGTTTACTTTTCCACTGGATTTCAGAAAAAGACCAAACTGTGTGGCAGGAAGCAAGCCAGCAAATTAAACTTTGGTTTATTCCTTGACTTAATATCATTCTGTCACTTCTTGTAGAAAGCTGAACAGGAGAACTGCTACTTGAATATATTATAATCATATATGCATGTTCATTTTCATGACATTCGTGCTCAAAGCTGAACAGCCCCGCTGTGGAGAGACAGAAGAGCCACATGTGGCCCCTGAGACCCTGAACTCACCTGTGTCAGGTACTCTAATCCCGGCAGACAGCCTGGTATTCCCGGGTTGGGTCCAGCATACATGTTCATGTCCTCAGACCTGTTGATGAGTGGGAACGTTGGAAATGGAAAACTGGCGCCATCTTGTGCTTATTTAGGTCACAGACGCTGATCATCACCACAGACGGACACAATCCGATTCTTACTACGACTCAAATGACAAAAGCATTTTGAGAAGCCCGTAATAACACCATAATCTGTGGATTTAACTAACTGTATGGATGGGAGGAGGGCAACTGCTGCAAGTCCACGCGCTGGTGGGCGTCACAGATTATCTTAATTATATTTTGGAGGCAAAAAGCTTCTGACCAAGGAGAGACCACCAGCAGAAACCCTCTCACTCCAAACAGCACCTCACATTACATCACTCCCCTCCTGTATTCTGTTTTTATCTCACTGACACATCACACAAACCATGTTTACTCCCCGCGAACAGCTGTGGAGAAGCGCGAGCTCAGATCTGCCCACTTGGTTTTATTTAAAGGGCCATCCATGTTTCCTTACATCCTCCTCTATCATTTACTGGTAAAACCCCACACAAATTAAAAAATAAGAACAGGTTTAGTAATACTCACGGATTTTAACCTGCTTCTTCGACTATTAATAGGCCACTCGGGCTGGATTCAGAGCTATGGAATAAAGCTCTGATCTCATTGGTCAACGTCACTGTACTTCCTGTATTCACGAGCCAATCACAAAGTGGGAGAATAGAACTGAGCACAGCAGAATGACCAGGGTTAACTAGAGCTGCATGAAATAGATAATATAACAAGTGGTTGTTTAAAGTTGTGTTTCACAGCCACAACAATCACTTTATTTTGTTGTAATAATGTTGCATTAAAATATACAAATAAAAATCCTTGTAAAATGACAGTGGAAGCATTGAAAGTTATTCTAAACTGTGCACCAGTCCCTGATGTTGAAAGGGGGTATGTTCACGTTTCTTTACAGTCATTATCACATGGGGTACATGAGGTGGGACAAAACTGTGTACTCAAGGTCTCAGTTACACACAAAAATAGCAAAAATATCAAGTATGAAAATAAACAGTATATAAGGATCTAAGATATCCACCAAGACATATGTGTCAAACTCAAGGCCCAGGGGCCAAATGTGGATCTTGTTGACATCTTATCTGCCCCCCCAAGATCTTATTTTAAATGTAAAATACTTTAATCACTTTAATTTTTTTCAGTAATCTTTGATTATGATGTCAAAAATGCAACAGAGGATGTCAAATGAGACTGATCAAATTCATTGTTGAGGAAACTACAACCAAGAAAAGATGTTGGGTATCTAATTAGTGGTATTGAGTTAATGTAGATTCTGAATCCGGCCCTTAGTTTGAAAAAGGTTTTAATTTTGGCCCCCTTTTGTAAGTGGGTTTGACACCCATGCACTAAGATATACACTAAACGAATGCTAAATAATACACTCAAATATCCAAAATATATGCCTAATACTAATATTGTAAAATAATATGGTATATTAAAGAGCAGTCCGGACATGTGTCTGTTGTGAGCAGATGGGTATGAATGAATACAGCAGTGTCAGCATGAGATCAGCAGCACAGATAAGTCACATATCACCAATTATGTCATTACAGTGATTGTTTTTTGTTTTGTTTTTCCACAGTGATTATCCTGTTTAGGGATTTATGAGTCTAACAGTTTCAGGGAGAAATTGTTCCTTAGTCTAGTGGTTCTACACTCAATGCTCTGCAACCTCCTGCCTGAGGGGATCAGGGCATAAAGTGTGTGTGCTGGGTGAGTGGGGTCCTTCATGATGCAGGTGACTCTCTTCCTGCATCTGGAGGTGTAGATGTCTGTGATGGTGGGGAGGCTGATTCCAGGCTGACTGCATGTGAGCATTTTAGAAATGCCTTATTCTGCATGTTTCATGTACCATTTAAATTGTGATTACATAATAGAAAATTATGTTTTTAAAACAAAGAAATGGGGTTGTGTGAATGCAGCACACGGCGTGAGAATTACACAGAGACTGCAGTTCCCCACCAAACTCACCATGGTTCTTTCTTTCCATCCAAGTCAAGCAGAAACTGAGGAAGCTGAAGTGACAGAAAACAACAAAAAAATGTGTTTTCATGCCATGAATTCTGTCCAAAAACAGTGAAAAAATATTTAATCACAAATACATAAAACAGTAGTTTGCAGCCACAAGAGTAATTTTATGGCTTTTGCCTTTTTAACTGAAAACCCAGAAGGAATTTGCATTTTTATTTAATTAGTCACTGTAAAAACTTTGTTTAAGACATTCTCTTGTAAAGACAAACACTGGATCTCAATTGTAAATATATTTAAGATCAGAGCCCTCAGCAACAAAACAATTGGATAGCCCTATGAAGGGGCAAAAGCGGGGCAATAGCCAACCCCATAAAAATGTAGTTGCCACCCAGGACTAACTATCTATCTCTATCTCTATCGTTATATCTATCTATCTCTCTATTTCTCTATCTATGCATGTACAAATGCTATGTATGTATTTTCTCAAAAAATACATAAATGCAGTTGAATGATATCCAACAGATGCAAGGTGATCACAACTGAAGGATTTGAACTACCTGAAGCTGAAGGCATCATTGCAAATGGCAACAACAATGGAGAGTAAAGACTATTCTGAAGTGCCAGATTTGCAAAAACAAATTCCAAGCCCTCAACACGTATGCCAGAAATGTCCAATTCTGGTCCTTGAGGGCCACCATCCTCATGTTTTACTTGTTTCTCTGGACCAAAACACCTGATTCAAAGGCTGAATTACAGTTTCATGTTCTACAGAAGACTGTTAATCACTCATTGATTCAAATCAAGTATGTTGGAACAGGGAAGCAAATAAAGCATACAGGATAGTAGCCCTTGAGTACTAGGACTGGACACCACTGATCTATGTAGTGCCAGTCATCAGATACCTTGCTTAGCCTAGCCAGAGGAGATAGAAGCCACTGGCATCAGAACTCATAAGTTCTTCACAATGCATGGAGTTTCACCCCAAGTCCAACATCTTGAGACTATACACTAAAAGAAAGTTGTGAGGCAGAGGACTAGTAAGCCATTACATTGATCTCAATGTGGCATTTGATACAATTTCTCATAATATCCTCCTGAACAGATTAGCTTTCATTCGAATCAGTCATACTCCACTTGCTTGGTTTACCTGATATCTTTCAGGCTGCACTCATTTTATTCAATTTTAATCCCATTCTTCATGCTTGTTTCCCGTTTCTGCAGGTGTGCCCCGGGGTTTCATATTAGGACCCCTTTTATTCATTATTTACATACTTCTTCTTTGCCATATATTCTGCAAATATAATATAAATGTCAATTATTACGCAGACGACACTCAGCTCTACATTTCCTCAAAACCCAATTCATCCCTTCCACCTACCTCCCTGTCATCTTATGGAAATTAGATCATGGTTTTCCTCTAATTTTCTTAAACTTAAGAGTAAGAAAATAGAAATTGTACTCATTGGCACAACCTGTCACGAATCACGTCTGTCAGTTAGGTTTTTGTGTCACTCTGTTC